CACTCCCTTGTCTCCTCCCCACTGCTCCAATGCATGACGTCGGGATCACACTCCCTTGTCTCCTCCCCACTACTCCAAGGCTCAGGCGCCTCCTGGTGACCAACCAGCCTCTCCGCGCCTTGCTCGGGGTCGGAACCCTGTCCAGGGTCCTCCACATTCTCCAGAGCCGACTCATAGGGCCCCTCGCTGCCGGAGTCTGGTGGCAGATCCAACGGCTCCTGCTGGGCCACAACACATAGCATTGCTGTTTCACCTTATCTTGTTGTTTAATAAAGTATCAAGATTTACATTTATAGTCTGGCTTATTAAAGGATAGGAGGGTTTAGCTGCATGTCAAGCGCCACACAGGTTGATGATTATAAAAAGTCTTTTTTTTTTGTCTTCCTCAGCAAATTGAGGTAGAACCAGCGGTGGGATTCACTTACCTTCCCTACCGGTTTGCAAATGTGAGTGCATGGGGAAGGTCATGCATTACATCAGGGCAGGTGAGTGAAGCCTCCCACACAGAGGTGAGTTCTGGCAGCCACTTCTGCCAGTTCGCTTGTGGTCATGCAGCACACGTGCATGCGCAGTACTATGAAATTGCTTCTGTGCATGCGCAGGAGCCAAAGCAAGATGGTATTGCCTATGACGCTGCTAGAAGAACTGATTCAGGGGCATGGCAGCCCTGGGTCGCTGCTGGTTCCAGAGACCCAGGCCACCAAACCACTACCGGTTCGGCCAAACCGGTCTGAATTGGTAGGAACCCACCATTGCTCCCGTAGTAGCAACTACCGGTTCACCCAAACCGGAGAGAACCAGTTGATAGAACTGTATGAAGAGGGGAGGTGTTTTAAATTTCACAGAAAACCAATGCAAAGGGTAAAGGAGTTGTGTGGATGTACCCCATGATCAAGACAGAGTTCCAGTAAATATAAAGATGGTGTGCAGCATCTGTCTCGGGTTGGATTAGATGACCATTTCCAACTCTGTTATTTTATTCTATGAAATGGGGCAATGAGTCACATTAGCAAGAGAGGACAGCAAAATGTTTTTGTCTTCTAGTGTGTCCTGGGGATGAGATTAAGCTTCTGGCATCTGTCCTCTATCTTGCATTTTAAATGCAATTAGGTTGCTGTTAGCCAACCTTGCCTGGCCTCCAGCAATGTCAGGCAGTCGTTGACAAATCCTTCATTCAGTTGGCTCCTGGGATGACTATGGACTTTGCTATCACTTTTCTTGCTCATCTTCCAGATTCTGCTACCCTCAAGCTTATTCTCTTCATTCTTCCTAAATTCATTTTGGGGAGAGAAAATTAATGACTCGCTTGCCTGGTCTTGTTTATAGAACAGTACTTACATATCATATCAGGTTTCCATAGCAGAAATGCTATGCTGTTCACAGACAAGCACACTGATTGTATGAAGAGCCAAATGTTTCAACCCAGCACACTGTGTTATTTTTTTTTTACATTTCCTCCACCCCCACTTTTTTCTTCTTGAATAACAAATAAATTTTTGTTTTGTTTTCATTAAATAATTAAATTGGCAGAATTGTCAGCTGTTATCATAATTGGTTTAAAATTTACCATTTATTAATTCTTATCTTACCTGAATCAAGCTCGGTTCATTGCTGGAAGGGCAGAGTGCTGCAGGAGGCCGTGGAGGATGAAAATGGGCCAGGCAAGGGCCACCCGGGGCCTTTGTGTGGCCCGTTTTTCGCCAGGAGAGTGCTGCTGGAGGCCGTGGAGCAGAGGTGGGTTCCTACCAGTTCGCACCAGTTTGGTAGAACCAGTTCGTCAAATCTACCGNACATATTGATCCATTTCCCCCCCCCCAAAAAAAAGATGAAGGAAAAAGAAAAAAGGAGTCTGATAGCCACTGCCACTCTAGCCTTCCAAGCCTCGTGTGTGTGTGTGTGTGTGTGTGTGTGTGTGTGTGTGTGTGTGTGTATAAAATTGACTTAAGCACAAGTCCTTTTGTACTCTTCAAAAAAGAAGGGTTCTTTTTCTTTTCCTTTTCCTTCCCTTGCCAAAATATTTTCCAAAAGCACCTGCAAAAAACAATTCATGCCCTTGGCTCTTTATCAGATTTTGTAAGCAAGTTGCAAACCCTTCAGTTACAAAATAAGATCAAAGAGGAATGAACAAAGGATACATTGTTTCAAAAAAAGAACACCAGGCTCTGACTTCCGAATGGCAGATTCCACTTTTTCATACTTGTCTCAAGCTTATGGAAAACAAAAATATTTAATTGTCTTTGGTGGAATTTAATAACAAATGGTAGGAGGAGATAGTTAAAATAAAAAAGAGTATTTTAATTCAAGCCAAAAAATAAGGTGACAAAAAATAGAGGGGGGAAAAAATCAATCCATTCACTTCAAGCGGAGAAACAGGAAACGTTACGGTCACTTCAATCCACAAAATGTGGTTACAAGAAAAAACAAGAACTTTCCAAGGCAGTGCAATAAGAATTAAATTCGCCGCTTTATTCTTTTACTTAAAGGACTAATAGATCCTTTTTTTTAAAGTTTCTTTGGGCAATCTTTCTCAAAATAGAAAAAACACCCTCACCCAATGGACTCACTTTCACTTTCTTCCTTCCAGAGCCATCTCCTACTTCATCAGCCTGGGGGCTACCTGTTTGCCGCTGGCTTGAAGCACTTCCCTTGGGTCAATCAGGGACTTTGCGATGTCCCTGAGATGAGCAAGGCTTTGTCTTCTGTTCACCGTCTCTACGGGACAGTTTAGGTCCAACTGGACTGTCCAGTGGCAAAAGTGTCAACGGCGGTCTCGGATTATCGAGACCGCACGTTGTGTGTTGCGACGTTGGCTCCTCCTCCTTGTGATAAATATATTTTGAAGTTGTTGCATTGGCTATCAATGCTACCCGGAGGAATAAGATGATGATTAGATGAGGTGAATAGTTATAGACCAAGAAAAAAGTTAGCATGTTCTAGAGAAAATCAACCCAGCTCTAAAAACAAGGTAAACGTAGTCCCACTTTGCCTCCCAGGGTCCTCGAAGCCATCTTGAAGAGGGTCGAATGAGCCCCAGTGGGTCTGCTCACCTCGTACATCCTGGCCTCCTTCACGCTGGAGCCTATCCCTTCGACACTACTGTGGACCTGGCGCTGAACCTCCAGCTGGGCTTCCACACTGGGCAAGTCATTCCCCCATTCGGATCGCTCCAGCTTCATCTGAAAGGCCATCAAAAGGAGCCACCAGTCAAGGCAGGGAAAAAGGATCCCCAGGTCATCCCCAGAGGGTTCTGCTGATCAAAAATGCTTCTTTCTACTCTACTGTCCTTTTCCAATTGATTTTTAAAACTAAAAAAAGTCTTAACTATTTACATTTACAACATTTGGCAAGATAAAATCAGTAGAAATCTTTTCCAAATTTGCCTAACTTTTACAATAAATAGGCCAAATAATGTTTTTCAAGGCAAACTAGCCTACTTGTGTTGTGTACCAAGTCGGATTACTTTCAAGAGCAATACGACAACCTGGGACCCTTTGGGTCATCGTTTCAGAGACAGTTTTTACCAGATGTCAGTCTCTGCTTTGCTGCTGCTTCGGCTGCCATTGAAACGGGGAGGGGGGCATGGTATTTGGGAGGGGTTTACTAATTGTGCTGGAGGAAGATTCTGGAGTTCTGCTGCCTGTCGGACTGCGCATGCGGAGGAGGTTCCCGCCAAGGCCAACGGCACCGACATTCCATCTCGGTGATGCCTTTCTAAGTTATCTCGCACCTGACACTTGGGAGAATTATGATTGGACTGCAACTGGGATGCCAAGGGGTGGGGAATGGGTTATTTTATATATCACTCGCTTTCACGCCTAAATAATCAGTCTTCGCTTTGCTACGCTTCTAATCATTTATAATTAGTAAAAGTACATTTGATTTCTATCAATGGAGTCTCGTGGTCTTCTTTCCTAATTACTCAATGAAGAGGTGTTGACACCAGAATCTTCAATGCTTACAACAACAGCAGAGCTTTTAATGTCCTGGAAAAGCTCTTAAAGATTCAGAGATGCATCTACCTTGAAAGTAACCCATGTTGTAGTACTGCATAGCACAGTCAAATATCAAGACTTGACCACAGGAAATATGACATTTCATATTATGTCATATCAAGTTTTATAAAACGTGCTAATTTCAGTTCAGGGGGGGGTCATGGGTTCCGGATTTTGGATGCATTCTGAGAGTTAGCCCATTTGAGGTACCTGGGTTCGGAAATGACCTAGTTCAACACTTTATCTGAACACACCACCAGACCCATCACCTGATGTCCTTCTTTCCTTCCCACCATGCAACGCACCTGTATCTCTTCCACCCAAGAGAGCAGCTCGTACACAAAGCGGAGGTTGCCCTCGTCTTCAGAGGATGAAATGGCTACTAACTCCACACGAGGCATTGGCTTCCGAATCCAGGAGGTAGAGGCAGGAGGGGCAATCGTTCCTTTCAGCAAAGGTTCCGTCTTCAAGTGTCTAGTGCTCAAGGAGGAAGGCTGTGCCAAGTCCAAGGAGGAGGGGGAGGAGAAGTGACCTTTCCGGTAAAGATTGGTACACTCCAGCCTCAAAGTTACCAATTCATCTTGAAGCCGCACAATCCTGGGAGAGAGTCAGGCAAGATAGACAACATAACCACCAGATGGATTTGTATGGCTGACAAACTGTACTCAACTAGTAGTCCTTAATGGTGCTACATCTACATGGAGGGAAGTAAGCAGTGGGGTACCACAAGGTTCCATCTTAGACCCAATACTCTTCAATATCTTCATAAATGACTTAGATGAGGGAATAGAGGAAGAACTCATCAAATTTGTGGATGATACTAAGCTGGCAGGAATAGCCCATAAGACAATCTCAGGATCCAAAAAGATCTTCACAGACTTGAACAATGGGCCCTATCCAACAAAATGTAATTCAATGTGGAGAAAAGCAAGGGCAGGAAAAACCAAAGGTAAAAAAACAGATTAGGCAAAACCTGGCTCAAAAAACAGTCACTGTGAGAGGGACCTTGGAGTCCTAGTAGACGATCACTTAAACATGAGTCAGCTGTGTGCAACAGCCACCAAACAAGCTAATGCAATCCTTGGTTGTATAAACAGAGGCATAGAATCAAATCACGTAAAGTATTAGTACCGCTTTATAAAGCCTTAGTAAATCCCCACATGGAATAATGCATCCAGTTTTATTTACTACATTACAAAAAAGATTTTGAGACTTTGGAAAAAGTGGAGAGAAGAGCAACTAAGATGATTAAAGGACTGGAGACAAAAACATATTGAACAAATCAGAGAGAGAAGCAACCTGGAATTAAGAAGAAACTTCCTAACAGTGAGGACAATTAACCAGTGGAACAGCTGGCCTTCAGAAATCGTGTGTGCTCAAACACTGGAAGTTTTTAAGAAAAAACTAGACAGCAACTTGTCTGAAATAGTATAAGGTCTTGAGGGTTGAACTAGAAGACCTCCAAGGTCTCTTCCAGCTCTATTCTGATTGACCGATTGAAAGGCAAGGTTGGCAGAGAATCACACGCATACATAACTGCAAACACAGTGCTGGAAACTTCCTGACCCTTTATTTATTTATCCCATTTATATGACCATCCATCTCATAAAAACTCTCTCTGGGTAGCATACAACAATCAACAAAACAACTATACATAAAAATACTAATTATTAAAATATAACAGATTAAAACATGAAAAAGTCCTTAACTTATGACCATAATCAAGCCCAGAATTATGGTTATAAGTCATGATTGTAAATTGAAGCATCACGTGACCAGACATGTCTTAGTTTGTGTGCTTATTATTTTAGGGCTTTATTGGGGTGCAGATATAACAACATTTGTACTTGTGTGAGATCGATTCTTGTGAGAGTGCAGTGCAGTATAAATTCAATCACTGAATCAGTCAGATGGAAAGTCACAGGGCATATCCAACCATTACACGGTCCTCCAACTGGACCAAGACCAGCCGTCCTTGGGAAGACGGAGGAGCCATCCTTTCCCCAGGCTTGAAATGCAACTTTATTTCGCAACTGTCTTACGTGCTCTTAAATGCTCCTTTCTAAATGCCCACAAACATCACTCACTTGAAGACCAGCTCCTCCACCTGGTAATAGTTCTCATCCCGGAGTATCTGAACATCCATCTGCAGCTGTCGGAGGAGTCCCTCACACTCCTGGAGGTACATGATGACATCGGATTCATACTGCACTGGCTGGCCCGACTCCAATTGGGCTTCCTCCTGGCAAGAGATAATTTAAGGTTCTTAAGGAGATTCTCTTTCTGTGATGCACTTTGAGGAAGATGCCCAAAACCTCTGGCAGAGGAACTGTACAGTCATGAAAAGGGAATTGATCCTAAAAAAAAGTGTCAGCCGGGAGTTCAGTGTGGTTCAGGTTTGCTTTCCTGAAGGATGTCTGTTATATCGGGTGAATGGATGAAGCAGACTCAGGCTAACAGTAACAACAGCTCTTTATTAAGGAACACTATATTCAATCCAGCAAAGTCTCTGTCTGGCAGCAGCCCTTTTATAGGGAGCTGTCAGACCTCTCGGCCAATCATCTTTGAGTATTTTCCCGCCAGATCAGAGGACCTTGGTGGAAACTACCATACTGTCTGTCAGTATGTAACAGTGTCAAAGACCAGAGCATTTTGGCACATGTAGCAAAAAAGATTGCAGTAACAATAGCACCTAGACTTATATACCGCTTCACCGTGCTTGACAGCCCTCTCTAAGTGGTATACAGAGCCAGCCCTATGGCCCCCAACAATCTGGGTCCTCATTTTACCCACCTTGGAAGGATGGAAGGCCGAGTCCACCTTGAGCCAGTCAGAAACTCCTGGAGTGAGCACTGAGTTAGCTTGCAGTACTGCATTCTAACCATTGTGCTTGATAAAGGCAAGAGAGGAAAGTGGAAAAGGGGAGACAGTGAAACAAGAGGAAAGAGGAAGTGGGAGGAGGTAACCAGAAGACGGAAGGGAAAAGAGCAAGAAGCAACATATCAATGAGGGAAGCCTAAGGGAAAGCACAGAGGCCAAAGATGGAGCAAGAAAAACTTCACCAAGATCCTACCAGCAGGAAGCAACTGCAGGCAGACAAAGCAACTTCAAGCTACAGATTGTGGAATGCCTGACAGTCCAAGAGCATGGGGGACTGCTTCAAAGGCTTATGGCCCCCAGAGACCAAAGGTGAGACCACTCACAGCGGTTGTGTGGGAGGGAGGCCAAAGAGCAGAGACTTACTGCCTGCAGTGTGTTCCTTGCCAAGGTGAGTTTTTCCTCACAGCTGAGGGTCCCATTCTGAATCTTGTTTGCTCTCTGCAGCAGCAGCTCCAGTCTGCAAAATAAACCTCAGTCACTATTTCAAAGAGAATGGATGAGTCACTTCTTTTTCTAAGTAAAAGAAGGGATATTTATCTTTATAGAGTCTAAACCTCACAGAGGCAACACAGAGAAGAAATTTTCCCATCCCTCACACTGCCCAGCACAGGGGTCACCTTTCCACAGCTGGTCGTAGAAGCTTCTCACGCTCCAGCATCTCTATGATCAGCTTTCCCCACTCTTCCTCTACGTCGTTGGGATGGTAGCCCTGCGGCAGCTTCAGGCGTCCAAATTCAATCCAGACCTAGATTCAGACAACAGAGGAGGAGGAGCCGTTTCTCCTGAGCCTGACCACAGAACACACCCTGTACAAAGAGGTCCTCTCCTGGGCTTTGAGACCCAAACGATTCATTCTTTTGTCTAGGTTGAGGTGCAGCAAATGAGAATTGCCTTCCAGGAGATTCTCCTCTGCAACAACCAAATACTGTTTGGACAACATTTAGAAAGTCTTAAATAACTTAAGGCACAGCAGACACGGTGTAAATTCACTGAGCTGAGTTTGAGCTAAATTTCAGTCATTTCCACAGGAAACAACTAAGGAGCAGCTGCCAGAGATCAGGCCTAGAGAGAGAGGTGTGATTGTGACCACAGGATTTGGCAGAAGCCTACTTGGGGCAGGAAAAGGGCCTGATCCACCATCTTCCATAATCTTTCACACACACACCCCAATGGTCTTCCCAGGGAAACTGCTGGCCCCCCACATTTAGCACTATGAAGAGTTAGAAGAGAGACTTGGTTCATGCTATAAAACTTCACTAGGGATGGGGAGCTGAAGTCAGGGCTTACCTGTAACTCTCACTCATGTGCCAGATTTAAGGGAATGCAGAACTGAAATTCTGCGCCACCAGTCAAGCCAAGGTGGTCATTTGCAGTCCTTTTTTTAAGACATCTCAATACATCTATGCAAGTCTCTTACCTCCAGCAATTTGTATAACTCTTCAATGCTTCTTTTTTCTAACTGTTTTCTTGGGATTTCTGTTTCTTTAAAATGGATATACTGGTTATAAAGTGCCTGCAAAATGAGAGGATTTATCCATGAATCCTCTTTCTTAAAGAAGGCAAGAAAGATTTTAAAAAAGGAGGGAAATGCATCGTATTTTGAGCTGTGGAAGTTCTTAGAAGTAAGAAGTAAGATCATAAAGGGGAGCTTCTTGCTACCAAAGCTGGTGCTGCCTTTTGATTATTTGGGCCTGTGTTGACTTCCTGGCCTCCTCCCAATCTCTCACAGAAAACCAGATGGGGGCCTCATTCAGCAGAAGGTAACTTCCCAGGATTTTCAGCTCAATCCTTTCCCAACTTTTAGTTTCCTTCCTGCAATCCTGCTATTTCTTGTTGCCTTCCTCTGGACCATTCTTGTTCCTGACTCTAAACCCACAAGAACTCACATCCAGATCATCATGTGAGAGGCAATTGCAACACTCTTTAAATGTGGCTGCCCTTAATGCAGATAACATATAAGCTGATGTTGGTGCAGAACCTACAGCCAGGCTGTCAGCTGGGGAAATCTGCTCCCACAGAGCGATGCTCATTGGATTCCACCAGTAATTTTCAGGATTCAATCAAAGTAGGGACTATACAGCCACACATGGCCTGCTGCCAGGATAACACCATGATCTGCCTTATTATGTCTGAGGCTGCCTGCCCAGTCTAGATAGCTAAGACATTTTCTGCAGTGGTCCTTATATGGTGGATTCATATGCTGCCCTCCCCTTCTCACATTTCAGAGGTGCTGAAAACCTTTTCCCCCCTTTTTTCATGGGGCCTTTCACTGCAATGTGGAATTGTGGGCAACTATCTGTTTTATCCATTTTGATGTTTTAAGGTAGGCTTTAGATGACATTGGGAATCCCCTAAAGTCTGGGGACTGCCGTGACCTATAAAATAAACCACCAGAGCCAACCCTTCTTAGCACTTAGCTATAGCAGGAGGAGCCATGCAGCCAAATGCTTTTCAAAATCTTTCATTCCACTTCAGTTGCCAAGAGGAGCAGAAAGGTGACCCTCCCCAAGACACAGATTCCCTTTCCTCATATCCAAATACACCATTAATTCTGCTTCCTCTCACAGTTTCATCTCTCTGCCTCTAGCGACCCAGACGGAAACCCCAAAGGAAAGGAGAAGTGGGAAGTTGTTCCCCTCCACAACCACAGGCTTCCCGATGAGACTGTCATTCCTACAGGAAGACCAATGCCCTGTCTCTCCCCCACCCCCCAGTTCCAATACTAGCAAACAACCAGAAGTCTTCTCCCTCACAGCCAACTACTTTTCGCTACTGCAGAGACCAGCTGCCTGTAGTACCTGAATAGAGACTGCGCATTAGAAAATAGAGATAAAAAGAAACTAATTCTAAGACCCCTCCAAAACAAAAAGCGTCGTGTTACTTCAGGGGCTGCTGTAATTTAACCTTGAAGTTTTATTAAAAAAATGGTCATGCCTTTATTACTTTATATACTTTTTAACAAACATAACCCAATACTTTCCTACTTTGCCCTCAACAACAATCCTGTGAGGTGGGCTAGGCTGAAAAAGAATGATTGACCCAATCTCCCAGTTGGCTTTCATGCCTAAGGAGGGACTGGAACTCATGGTCTCCTGGTTTCTTTTTTCTTTTCCTGTCAAGTTTTTTTCATTTATATATAAGTATTTTGAATACAGTGCATTGTCCGAGCATACTATTTTACAATAGAAAAAAAGGTAACAGGAGACACAGAATATTATTTAAAGTGGAATAGGCTTTATCAATGTTAGAGATAAGAGATAGACAACAGGTGAAGAAAGAGTATTGTTTATGTTTAAGTAAAATATGAACATTATTTATAACTATATGTATGCTAATATATTTAACAGGAACATAAATGAGCGAATATAATTATAAATATGGTTAGAATTATTTTGTTATATCACTATTATTGCTATCAGTATATATGGTCTCCTGGTTTCTAATCTGGTGTCCTCATCACCGGATAACTGACTCTCTTGAGTTGGGATGCAATCCATAGCTAAGCTCAACCAAGGCCACAGAATCAACCACAATTGTATTTTGGATAGAAGGAGCTTCCACAAATGACTGTGCAGCAACTGAAATCAGGAGCCATTTCAGATCTGATAAGAGGAAAACTGGCCAGAACTTACCTTGAGCTTTACAGGGTTTTGGGGAAAAGATTTGTCACACATCTGTATCGTATGCTGCTTGATCCAGCTGATGAGTGTTTCTACACAGGTGTGATATTCTAACCATTTTGTGTCCACTTCCTACAAGAAAAAGGGGAAATCGAGGGCACTCAAGTGGTACTGGATGGAGAGGAAACACCAGGAAAAATCATACAGCCAAAGAAGAGACATCAAAATGGGGCAAAAGAAAAAAACAGAGACTAAAACAAGCCCTTTCTCTTTGCCTTTGCAAAGGGGCTCAAGGCCAGTGCCAAAGTTCCAAGGCCCCCGAGAGATGGCTGGGAAGGATGGGGCCTCAGCACCAAAGGAAGCCAAAGAAAGAACAATCCTCCCTTCCTAAAAGCTGAGTTTCCACCAAGAAGCAGCAAGGAAGAGGAACGCATAGAAGCATGGCTGACTTTCTAACCTGACATCGGCCAGAACAGCCATGTCACAACTGCCCATTCCCTGCCAACACATCTCACACATTATGTAAATGTGAAAAAAGTTGAAGCAGGACAGCAACTTTTCCAATAATCTTCAATTCATTTAATTTAAAAAAAAAGAAACACAAAACTATCATTTCTTTTACTGTACAAGTCCACTATTTGTATTTCAGATGACCAAAGGCCTTGGCTCTCATATCAATATATTGCCTTTCTCCTTACAGGTACACAGTGATATCATTCACTTGGAAACAACGGTGGTAAGAAGTTGCAGAAAAACAAAATGTTGAGTGAACCCTCCAGGCTGAACAAAGGTAGCTAAACTTACAGTGGCACTAATTCCTTCTCCTCCCTCGGGGACTTTGGGGAAGGCATCATAAATTGAAGACACGTAAGTGATTACAGATTTTTCATCTGGTGAAGGGACATCAACATCTGAAAGAAAAGAAAAGAAAAATGACTTGTGTCTAAAGCTGTCTCCAAAGTGAGGCATGGGAGGAGTCACACATGGGTATTAACACAGCCCTTTTGCCCTGGAGACTGAGGTAAATCTTGAGGCCACACCTCCATTCCTCCTCTGACCTCCCAGATTAACCTCAGACTCTGGCCCAGAGGGAGTGTTTACCTGACTCTCCCTCACTTCAAAGACTTCAAGTTTTTTTCAGGAAAATTAACCCTTTTTTTACAGGATTACTTTCAACCCTCCTCTTCTGTGCTCCATGCTGCTAGCATCCCAAGCCTCACCACTTGCTAGCGCGTGCCCAGATGGCCAGACAGCCATGTAAGAGGGGTAGCAGCCGCTGAGTCGCGCGGCTTACCAGAACGGCCAAAGGATCACCAGGAGGCCTTCGCAAGCATCGTAGCTCAGAAGATTCTGCAGGATCGTCGACCAGTGCCCACAAGCTTCAGAGGAGCTCAGACAGCAGATTGGCGGCTGCCATCTTTGTTTCCGCCATCTTGGAGCACATGAGTGAGTGCGTGGCCGGTGTACCTCCTACAGTCGCCGAGAGCACTCAAGAAGCTCTGAAGAAGCCAGAAGAGGCTTGGAACGGCCTTATCTCTGTCAGCAATCCAGGGAGAGCCATAGTTTTTGGTGCTTGCCGGCAGTTGGGCCGTGGATCGATGGCAGGGAAGGAGCGCGGAGGCTGAAGAGCATCGCACACATCAAATTGAGCCGGCAGAAGAGTGAGGAGGGGGTGATCGTCAGAATCATGAGTAGCATGGCGGAGGCGGTGAGCAGCAGGGGTGCTGGGCCTAGATTCCCAGGGGACTTGGACCAAGGCGAGGGGACCTCTAGGGGGCCTCCCCCAGTCACCAGAGGGAGGTCCCCCGCCAAGAAAAGCACCCCCAGGGCCCCTAGGAAGGAGACCTCCTGTAAAGGGGGTAGAGTTACCAGGGCCTCCACTAGAAGGTTTAGGGCCACCATTAGTCCATCACCTTCTAGATCACACTCCCCCCGCAGGCTCCCTATGCTGGTAGAGGCCCAGGTGGCATCCCCTCCTCCCCAAGGAGCTCAGGCAGAGGGCTCAGCTCCCTATCGCCCCCCCCATCGCCTGCCCACCCATCTGAGGCTAGGGGAGATCCCTTTGGGTGCATGGCACCCAGCTCTGCCAGACACTGGCTGGCACTGCAATCCCCAGAGCCAAGGGAGTTCTTGCAACCCCCAGAGCTGCACCCATCTCTGCCAGAGCTTCCTGAAAGCTTCCAGGAGGTGTTAGCCAGGGCCATAGCCCAGGGAATTGCTTCTGGGATGAAACACCAGTCCCAAGGTTCCAGGAGTAGGTCTTCCCGGGACAAGTCCAGGAGTTACCAGGATCGCCCCAGGTCCTCTGCCACCAGAGAACCCAGGTCACCCTCCCCCTCTACTGCTAGTGAAGCTTCAGATTTAGAGGGGGGGGGAGTTGAAGGAGGTGGGGTTTTCTGAGGATGAGGATGCCCAAGCCCCTGAAGCTCCCAACATCACCAGGCTGTTTCCCCCCTCCTTACTTCGTAAGGCCAGGACCACAGCAGACCTGGACACCCCTCCAGAGCCCAGTCCTGCAACTGCAGTGTCTTTTCCCAATTTGGGGGGCAATGAGCGTAGGTTCTATAATCTCAACTCTACCTTTGCCCAAGCACTCCAGGTATCACTCTCTCACAGAAAACCAGACGGGGGCCTCATTCAGCAGCATTCAGCAGCCTGGCTTCGGCTTCTGCGGTGGTGACTGGAGACATAGCCAACTGTCTCAAGGCAAAAGACAAGAAGGCAGAGATGATCATGCGTAAGTCTTTCCTGGCAATAACCTGGGCTATTAGGGGGGCCACGTCCACATCTTTTTTCAACAGGTCCACAGTACTATGGCTGGAACAGCTGAGAAACAGGACTCCAGCCACGGAAGTACGTCTGCTACAGAACATTTCCAAGGTGCTGGCAGCCACCCAGTTTTTGGCGGACGTCACGCTGGATGCAGTTAAGTATGCTTTGCGAGATTTGTCATCCTCTGTAGCGTCCAGGCGCCTGCTGTGGCTGCGTCACTGGCAGGCGGAGTCTCATGCAAAGTGGCATCTGGCAGGAGCTGTCTACACCAGGGACAAGCTTTTCAGTTCTTCGCTGGATCCTATTCTGAGAGACCTCTCAGCGGCTTTCGATACCATCGACCATGGTATCCTTCTGCGACGGTTAGAGGAGGTGGGAGTGGGAGGCACCGTTCTACGGTGCTTTTCCTCTTCCCTTTCTGACAGGTCGCAGTCGGTGTTGGTCGGGCGACAGAGGTCGCCCCCTAGGCCCCTTAAATGTG